ACACAAAACCAACAGCCTACATTACTCTCAATGGAGAGAAACTGAAAGCCTTTCCTCTGTGAACAGGAATCAGGCAAGGATGCCCTTTGTCACCACTCCTATTCAATATTGTGTGGGACATCGTAGCAAGAGCTATAAAGCAAGACAGGGAAATCAAAGGCATCTAAAATTGGCAAAGAGAAAGTAAAACTCTCTCTATTTGCAGATGCTAAGATCCTATATATAGAAAACCCCAAAGACTCAGTAAAAAAGCTACTAGACCTCATTGGAAGATTCAGCAAAGTGGCAAGATATAAGATCAACATCCAAAAATCTGTTAGATTCCCTATACCAATAATGACAGCGCTGAAAAGGACATTAGGAAAGCAATACCATTTACAATAGCTGCCCAAAGGATGACATATCTAGGAATAAATGTAACCAGAGAAACAAAGGGCCTATACTAAGAAAACTGCAAAACACTATTATAAGAAACCAAAAGAGACCTACAAAAATGGAAGAACGTACCATGCTACTGGATAGGAAGACTTAACATTGTGAAAATGTCAATAATGCCCAAAGCAATTGACACATATATGCAATCCAAATTCATATTCCAAGGACGTTCTTCAAAGAGATGGAAAAAACAATTACAAACTTTATATGGAAAGGAAAGACACCCAGGATAAGTAAAGCACTGCTTAAGAAGATAAATAAGATTGGAAACCTCTCACTACCTGACTTCTAAATTTATTACATGGCTACAGTAGTCAAAACAGCTTAGTACAGGTACAATGAAAGATACATTGATCAATGGAACAGAATCAAGAATCCAGAAATTAACCCATTCATATTCAGCCAAATGATTTTTGACTAAATACCTAAATTTATCGCAAGGGGAGAGAATAGTCTCTTCAAAAGACGGTGCTAGCAGAACTGGAAAGTGATATGCAAAAGACTGAAACAAGACCTTTATCTCACGCCTTTTACAAAAACCAACTCAGCATGGTTTAAATGTGAATCCCAAAATTATGAAGGACATCAATGAAAAAATAGGGACAAATGTGAGGGCATTAATTCAGGGAATATACAGACTACCAAACATTTTGAAAACTACACAAACAAAAGTAGACAAAATAGATGATTGGGATATACTAAAAATTAAAAAATTACGTGCATCAAAAGACTTCACCAGAAGAGCAAAAAGGAAACCCACAGAATGGGAAAAAATCTTTTGCAATGACACATTAAGCCAAGGGACTCATTTCTAAAAATATATAGGAAACTACAACACCGCTACAAGAAAAAGACAAATAACCCAATTAAAAAATGGGCACAGGACATGAACAGACACTTCACCAAGGAGACCTGGGTAGCCAACAAACATGTGGAATGTTCACGATCCCTACCCATTAGAAAGATGCAAATCAAAACAACAATGAGATATTATCTCACATGAGCAATAACAGGAAAGATCATAAAAGTAGAGGACAATAAATGCTGGCAAGGGTATGGAGAGACTGGGACGATCCTGCATTGCTGGTGGGATTGCAAAATGGTCCACCCTCTCTGGAAAGCAATATGAAGCTTCCTCAGAAGGTTGGAATTAGAAATACATTATGCTCCAACAATTACTTGGTATTTACCCACAAGAAATACAAGCCATAACACGAGTAGATACATGCATACCAATGTTCATAGAAGCACTATTTACAATAGCAAAAAGATGGAGACAGTCTAATTGCCCATCAATGGAAGAATGGATAAACAAACTGTGGTACGTACACACAATGGAGTATTATGCTACCTTGAAGAACAACAAGGAAGCTGTAAGCTACCACATAACATGGATGAACCTTGAGGACATTATGCTGAGTGAAATTAGTCAGTCACAAAAAGAGAAATACTGCATAGGACCTCTACTGTAAAGGACTAAGAAAAAGAACCCATACTAAAGGGGGAAGAAGGGATTCTTTGCTGGTTACCAGGATGTGAGAGTGGGGAATAGGGAGAGGGGAGGGAGGGGAAGGTTGAGCATAGGGTAGGGACTAGACACAGGATAGTTTGGGTGCTGGGGAGGAGGGCAATACACAAGAAGGGGGAGGGAAATGGAAGAACAAGGCGGAAGGGAAAACAATCAAACAGGTTTACATGGGCTAAGCGGGACAGAGGTAAATAATGATGTATGCACAATCTTGGAACAACAGGGCTCTGGGATACAGGGATTGAGACTTGGTTGGAATGGACAAAAGGGGGAAAACAATGTTAAGATACTTGACTGTCTTTCGTATCTTCGTTTCCCTGGTATACCATTATGAAATAGAAACTTGAGGGGGAGAGAAAGGAATTAAAGCCTCATAAACCCTATACAGGGTCATTATGAGTCGGAATCTACTCCATGGCACTTTAACAACAACAACAGGGACCTTAAAGTTTCTTGCTTTTTAAATTCAATACAGTTCCGGGATCTGGTTGCTAAACCAAATGATTCTACCTATACTACAGAACAAAAAAAGAGACTGAGTAGCAATGGTAGAAGGCTAAAAAAGTAAGCGAAAATAAAATTCACAGATTAACCAGAATAGGTTTGTGTAACTCTACACTTACGCATTTATGTATGCATATGTGTATATATGTATGTCTGTACGGAGAAGGTTGGCCCAGGATTGGGCACTGGAGAAGAAAAATGGCTTTGATTTTAAAATTTAGTGATAAATATTCTGAATACGAGAAGTTTCTTACTTAAAATAGAATCTATAGTATCAGATGTTACTACTAGATTTTTTGCATTTACATGAGCTACATGGATTTGGCTTCCCAATAAACATATGATAGTTTACCTAGTAGCTTATGACTTTCTATTTCTTCCTCTAACACCTGAGTATCTGGAATTTCTGAAATCAACGGAGCAGGTGGGAGAAACCAAGATGATGATTTTTCATTGTCTGGAAAGCTATATAAAATATAAAAGTTTGAATATATGTTATCAGGATATAACATCAGACATGAGAACGATTTTATTTATTAAATATTACTCAATTAAAGACTCTTAGATAAACATCCTATAAACAAACTTTGTTATCTTTTGCTATCTAACTTTGATTAATCCCAATAGAGCAGCACTCTCAACCCTTTTTTTCCTCGTGTTGTAGGATTATGTAATATACTTGGTTGTTGCTAAATGCCATCAGGAGTCTTGGTGTGGCGCTGTAGGTTAATGTGCTGGACTGCCAAGTTGTTTGAACCACAAGGTCGGTGGCTCAAGCTCACCAGCCCCTCCTCAGAAACCCTATACAGGGTCGATATAGGTCAGACAGAACCTACTCAATGACACTTAACAACAAATGAACAACAAGTGCCATCAAGTCGGTTCCTACTCATAGCAACTTTTGTATAGGGTTTCTGAGGAGAAGCTGGTGAGTTTGAACTGCTGACCTTTGGGTTGAAACCAACATTGCGTTCCAGTGTTTTTTCTACAGTGCCACACCAGTATATGTAAGATGTTGTTACGTGCCATGGAGTCGGTTCCGACTCATAGTGACCCTGTACAGGGTTTCCGAGGCTGTGAATCTTTACGGGAGCAGAAAGCCTCATCTTTCTCCCGTGGAACAGCTGGTAGTTTCAAACTGCTGACCATGGGGTTCACAGCCCTATTCGTAACCACTACACTACCAGAGCTCCTTATACTACCTAATAATGGCTACAACTCCACCTCTTTTTATCTAATCTAAATGCCAGTGATAAGAATCTGAAATATGCTGCAATTTAAATTTTAAAAAAAGTAGTAAATCATTCTCAAATCTTAGCATCTTAAGTATCACAACTAACAAAGTACTTATTACACTAATTACAGATGGTGTTCTACAATATTCCTACAGCACTATTACAAATTTTTGTCCTAAACCCAAAACATCTTGGTCCATAACCATCTATAAGACACAGGAAATCTAAATGACCGGATGAATCAACAATTACTTCATACATCTTCAGTAATTAATGAGATTCTGCCACTTATTGGTGTCTTTAACTACCTTTCTTTACCTTTTAGCGCGGATCCTATTAATATACTGCTTTCATGTTTCTTTTCCAATCAAAGGTGACCTGTCCTTCATTAGATCAGAAAGATAAGTCATAGGAGATTTAAAAAATATAGTTGAAAAGAGTAGCATATACACTATCTATGCCAAGTTCCAATGATTTTAAGATTTGTTTCTTAATTCTCCATTTAGCATTCTGGTGACAATTTTCATTTAAAACCAAATGGCCACCACTTGTCTGTCAGTTTGTAGTACTGTGGTGGCTTGTGAGTTGCTGTGATTCTGAAGG